GGATACCAAACTTGGTCATTACCTTTACCCTAGGCTTCCTTACACTCATTTTCTGACTTTGTACAATCTGTTTGGTATAGTGACTCCCAATCCATGCATATGTCACCAATGATCCAAACTTGAAGTTCCTAGCACAATTATGATCAACTTTAAGTGACTTGATTTGGAAACTCTCTTCATCACTCATCCAAGAAGCCCATAATCTAAATATGCAAGCACCCTTGCTACTCCTCACCACAAGTCTTTTCCTATCATTTTTTTTCAAAAAACAATTGATATCCATTAGCCACAACATAGTTGCACAACATTGATTTTACTTGCCTTGGACCCTTAAATCTCATAACTAGAATTAGTTTTTATTTTTTTCCAGTGTAATAGCTCATTAAATATGGAATGAGTTTGGAATTTAGGTTCAACTTGTCTCCTATTATCATCATCTACAATGTTGTTATCCTCTTACTCATCAACACATAGCTTACTCAAGAAAGGACCGTTTGATGTCCTATTCATATGCACTACATTCTCATTAAATTTAAAGGCAACATTCCTAAGTTCATCTATGTTAACTTCATTTTCACCATAAATACAATACTCATGTTCATCATCATTATTATCTTCATCATCAAACCATCCATCCACACCAACCCCAATATGATCCACATAAACCAAAATTACACCATCTGTTCCATAAGCATATAAAAGAAAAGCAACTTATTCCACATCATCTAAAATAGAATTAAACCCTTCCATCAGGGAATTGTCTGGTTCACAGTAGTACTTTTTTTTTTACACTCTTCATGCATGAAATGTTCGCAGAATGTCACAAACTCAAAATAAGTCATAGATGAAAAGTCGACATCAGTGAACATGGTCTTCACACCACAAGTGTAAGAGAAATGATTTCGATTAATTACCCCTTGGTAGTTGATTTCCACCATCGCAAACACTCCATTAGGTTCTGATTGTACCATTGCTGCGACTTCTTTGGTTCTTCAGCTCGATCATAAAAATGCTTTACAAAACCTAAATTAGTTTCTTTTACAGCTGAATAATGAAGGCGAGTGAAGTTCGATAGCTAAAGACGAAAGGCATATCTTTTATTGACGTGGCATATCTCGCTTGGCATCAGATTAGCCAAAAATATATATTAATTGACATATATAAAATGTCAACTGGGAAACCGTTGAAAAGTATGGAAAATGACTAAATTAATAGGTCATATACGAGTTTAATGGTCTAATGTACCAAAAAAACTTTAATAACCAAATTAGTCAAATCGAAAAAGTTTCATGTGCTACAGTGACATTATCTCTTGTACTTTTGCATGAACCCTCCCTAGGGGAAGGCTCATGCGAATATATATATATATATATATATATATATATATATATATATATATATATATATATATATATATATATATATATATAATCACTTGAGAGTTTTTGGCTAATCTGATGCCATGTGAGATATGCCACGCTCGTACGCTGCAAAGTTTTGCGACAATAGAAGAAGTGAACCAAATAGCTAATCTAATGGAAGCAAAATTAGTCAAATCGAAAAAATTATTCAAATATGAATATTACATTCATCTGTCATGCTGTTTTGTAGTAATAAGAAATATGATCCGGTGGTTGTGGTTAATATTCACATATGACTATTGCGTTCTTGCGTGGGGCCAAGATTTATTCTCATGTTCTCAAATATATAATCGTTTTCATTTAAACCTAAGTCTATCAAAAGATTATATTTATGAGTTTTTTTAGTAACAAAATCATCATAAATAATATATGAAGGTCGATTTTATCCAACATATCATTTTAATGCATAACATAGGTAAAACATTTTTTTATAAATATAATTTCTAATAAAGATATTATTATTCTTTTATATTTATAAAACAATGATAATATAAAGATTATTAAATAAATGTGGACTATATATATATATATATATATATATATATATATATATATATATATATATATATATATATATATATATATATAATTTTTATAATATTCTAATATTTAACTAAAGTTGTTAGAATAATTTAATAAGCTACTAAAATTATTATTATTATTATTATATATATATATATATATATATATATATATATATATATACAAAACTGCACAAATGTTCCCTGTGGTTTGTCAAAAAATTATCACTTTGATCCAAAAAGGTGTGAATTAAAACCTGACGTCCAAACTTTTCATTTTTTGTGAGTTTTGTCCAATTTAATATCAACTTTTTCATAATGACGATTTCACCCTTATTTTTCATTTTTTTTTGCGAGTTTAGTCCAATTTAATATTAAGTTTTTCATAATAACGATTTTACCCTTGCTTTTTCCTTTTTCATTTTTTTTATTATTCAAAGATTTTTCAGATTAAAAGAACAAGTAAAAAAATAAAATTTTCCTTTTCTATTTAATTTAAATAATTTTTATAACGGAAAAAATAGAAAATAAAAAAGAAAATCTCTCTCTCTCTCTTTATCTCTCCATAAATTCCACTCACATCCTTGCCAAATCTCTCTCTCTCTCTTCATCAGATCCTCTCATCATCATCATTATCGCCGACACCTCTCACATGTCTAGTTTGCACACGAAATCAAGCCTTCTATTCATCTTCTTCTAACAGTGAAAGCTACAAATCTCAAATCCATCAGTAGATATCAAATGTTAAAATTAGCATTAGAATGTATTTAAGAAGATATTGATCACATTCTTTACATGGCCTTCTCTTTGAATCGCTTGAATCGTTCACCTAGAAGGCCAGGTCTAATCTTGAAATCTGATTCACAGCAGGTATGGTGTTGGTTGGTGTTAGTGTCCGCCTAGAAACGAAATTGAAATTGTGTGTGCCCATAAATGAAGCACGAAGTCACTGTTTGTGTACATGTGTGCGTCAAGAACCTTCAAAGTCGATGGGTTCGTTCATGTGGTGACATATCCGGCGACGACTTGAGAGAGAGAGAGAGAGAGAGAGAGAGAGAGAGAGAGAGAGATTTATTTTCTTGTTTTTCTAATCTGAAAATCAAGAGAGGGAGAGGGAGAGAGAGAGAGAGTGAGAGACAGACAGACAGAGAGAGAGAGATTTATTTTTATTTTTATTTTTATTTTCTTGTTTTTTTTTTAAAATCTAAAAGTCATAAAAACAAATAAGAAAAAAGATAAAATCATATTAACATGGGTAAATCCGTTATTTTGATAAATATCAGAACAAATTGGACCAAAGACGCAACAAAATGGTAGTTTTGGACTGCTGGAGTTAGTCCAAACCTTGTTAGACCAAAGTGGCAATGGACCATTTGTACAGTTTATATATATATATATATATATATATATATATATATATATATATATATATATATATATATATATATAAGTATGTGTGTGTGTGAGAGAGAGAGAGAGAGGGATACAACTATTCATTGTTGCAAATCTTATCAATAGCAATACGATTGTTCCTAGAAATGTAACATGTTTCCGAATAAAACTAATTGCTGAAACAAAATATTTGCCGTTCGCCGCATTACATTTGTTTCAGCAATTAGTTTTATTCGGAAACATGTTACATTTCTAGGAACAATCGTATTGCTATTGATCGGTTTTGCAACAATGAATAGTTGTATCCCTCACAATACATAAGGATATAAAATCAACAAGAATTAAAAATGAATAGTTAGGATTGAATATGAAATATGTATTATTATATGATTAATTAACAATTAGTTTCTTTTCGACAAAAGGCGATGAGTTTCTAAAAGGTAAAGTCATGCAATGTTAAATGTATTGATTATTTTTTATATGGGTTGGGGTTGTTACGGCAGTGGATTTTTTCTGAATGACGATTAGTTTCCTTTCAACGAATAATGAATATTTTCCATTATGTAAATCCCTACAGTAATTAATTAGTTTCATTTTACTCAAATGTTTAAAAAAAACAGTAATACATTAATAAATATCATTTATCTTTAAAATATATTAATATCATTTATTTTTAAAATATATGAATATCCGATTAATTTATCTTCTAGATAATTTCTTAGAGCCTATACAACCAGCCTTGTAGACTGCAATCGTTTGATAATCTAAAAGAATCACATTGCAATTTTTATATATTTGTAATTCGTATACATCATTAGAATCGTCTCATCTTTGTTCATGCCACTAATCACTAATCATCTGATGTAGTTTTCTTATTTTAGGGATGTTAAAGATTAATTCATTTTTATACATTGTATAGAGAGGAAACTTTATATATCTTTATAGTTTATTTATATTATTGCAATACACCATAAACCGTCAAGAGGTCCTCCATATTTTTTTTGTCTAAATCTACATTATCGACAACCTTCTCTTAGTTAGAGTTCCATGAACATTGTTCTCCATATCACTATGGAATCAATGGAAATTGTTCTTCATATCGCTATCTAATGAATGAGCCTGAAGCATTGGATTCTCGTCTTTACAATGTGGTATCGAAATCTTTCCCTTGGTTAAACAACTAGTACGCCTAAAGCAAACCGAAGAACAAAATCCAATCCTTTTAGTTAAATTCAATTCAACTTTTTTTTTTGTAGCAAATTAAAAATCTTTACAAGATAGACTTCTTGTACCCAAAGCTATGTTGAGACGAATATCAAGCTTTAGCTATTGTAGATTTTCTAAAAAACATTACAATATATGTTACACAAAGTTAGAATCAAGTGCACAAATTTGATTGTAAATTTTTTTAAAACTTTACAATATCTGTTACAGAAAGAAATAGAATTTCTTGGGTTTCATGAATCTAGAAACCATAGAATAAAGTATTTTGGATTACCCTTTAAAATGTATTTATGCATCTAAACGTGGGAATTGGTTGGAATTCAATTCCGATTCCTATAAAATCCTACAAAATACTGCGGACAAAAGGCAACTAAAACTTTAGAAGCGAATGCATTTTAGGTCTCATCCGTTAGCCATGGATTCCATTATTTCATTTCATTACTTGGTTTCTCCACTTGAAATGGAGTAATTACAACAATTATAACCTACAATTAAAAAAAATTCTCGAATCACAAATTATGCTAGTTTAAAATAAAAATACATTTCTTGACAAGCAACCATGCAATATTCGTCACAAATATATCGACTATATTTTTTATTGGACAATCACTTCCTTTTATTGTTACCATCATAGCCGCTTGAGAAAATTAGCAGCCATATCTCCGACCACAACACAAAGCAAGTCTAAATATGGTGTTGGGTCAGGTATATGTGCATTCACCTTCTCGAACTCCATAGTCCAGATAACCAACTTCTTATGGCCCATATCTTCAATATTAATCGTGAGGATTAAGAGACTATACATCTCTCCAACACTCCTCCAATCACCTTGAAACACAATTTTGTGTAATTCATCATCAACTTCTTCAACCATTTCTTTTGCACTTTCTACTTTTCCAGCTACGGAAAAAACCTTAATTATTTTGTACACACACATAACAAATTTTCATGTTGAATTATCATAAATGAAATACTTTACAATGGATGAAGCGCCAGAGAATGACAAATCCAGACCCACCCCATTGAGCAGAAACTAAATCGCAACCTTGAATTGGGCCGATGACTGTAGAGTTGTTTGGTTTGTGCTTGTAGATTTCATAGACCAAGTTAATATCACTTTTGATTTCAACTTCACGGACTAACTTACCTATTTTAGCCATCTTTTTTTTTCTTGCGAGCCTATAACTATATAGCTTGTTGTCCCCTCTAGTACTTGAACAACCAATGGTCAAGCATTTATATATGGATGTTTCAGCATGTATTGGCCATCTTTATGGTTATTTCCAGTTGTGTTTTAATTTGGGCATCTTTTATGCATCTTCAAACTTTGCATGTCATGGGAATTTTAATGGAACATTATTGTACCACTTTAACTGTCCATGAGACCAATACCGTGATAATGCATCAAGCACTGGACCAACACTCAGATGTGTATATTTCTAAAAGATATTGGTACCTTTTAGAGTAAAAACTATGAAATTCTTATTGTATTTGCTAAGTCCAATATTTTCCCATAATAGGCATTACAAATAAGAATAAATACGATGATGATCATGGGCCGATACATATAAATACATGTAAAGGATAGTGGCCTAACTATACAAATACAAATATATACATACACATGTCCGCTAACGGTAGTTTTTTTTTTCATACTTCAATGCATGACAATTAAACATCTTAGTTTTAAGACAAAACCTAGTTCTAAACCCCGATGAGGGCTATTATTATTGTGTGGAAGTATTAAACAAGTCCCGAATTATGTTTGCTAAACAAATATGAGATGTTTTGAACAATATTAGACCGTTGATATAAAGTTATTTGAAGTACAAAAATGGTCCCTAAGCGTTGCATAAAATTGCAAGATTGGTCTGTAATTGTGATATTTCCCCAAAGAGTTCCCTACGTTTAATTTCTATTTCAGACTTGGTCCCTCTCCACAATGGCTCCATTCCGTTAGATCCTCACATGTCATGAGGGTACATTAGATATACACCTATACAGTATAATGCCGAAAGTCTAAATATAAAGACAACCCTCGAACCAATATTGAAACGAAAGCCCCAGATATAAAAAACCGAGCGCATTGATTGAAGAAAGATTGATGTTGAACTGTAAATATACACATTAACAAGTTGACCAGATTTATAGTCACCAAGAAATTATTATGTTTTTACTTTTAATATTGCATGCATCCTTGAACCCGAAAACTACCATAGTGAGGTATCACGTGTGATGGACCTCGTGACTCGTGTGATTCACTCCTTGCTGTAGAACCTTAACCCTACTCCTTTCCTTTCCATATCCTCGGGACCAAATCCTTCTTTTTGTTCTCCGTAGGAAAATTTCCGACTTGTAAAGTTTCTGGTTTTGGACTATTGGTGAGAAACTATTTGAAGAGATTCGTGGATTTTAAGGTAAATGATCCAATCCAGAAAGGTTCATCTTCCACTTGTCTGATTGGTTCAAAAGATTGGCAATACTGTCTTTCACTGTTTGCTTTATTGCTAGCCCTCTCATTTGGTTCTGAACCAGTTAATACGTCATTAGTGTTATGAGGTTTCTATGGTAAGACGACACTACACATTAATTGAATCGGCTTCAGTAAGTTTGATTCCTGTTAAGTTACATGGGAATCCGTGATTTTGAGTCCTTGGAAGACCCTTTCTCCTTCGATGAGATCAAATCAGCAATCTGGGCGTGTGGCTCGGATAGGGCTCCCGGGCCAGATGGTTTCTCTTTTGCTTTTCTAAAGAAGCACTGGGAGGAAATTGGTAGTGATTTCTACCTAGCAGTTAAGCATTTTGAAGCCACAGGGCTCATTGATGAAGGATGTAACTCATCTTTTATCACTCTAGTCCCAAAGGTCCAAGACCCGATCACGCTAAACGACTTCCGCCCTATCAGCCTAATCGAATGTCTATACAAAACGATTTCAAAGGTCCTAGCTGAGCGGCTGAAAAGAGTGATCCATCATGTGGTAAGCAAAGAACAAACAGCTTTCATTAAAGATAGGAACATCCTAGATGGGCCTCTAATCCTCAATGAAGTCATTAGCTGGTTAAAGAAGAACAAAAAGAAAGCGTTCATATTCAAAGTTGACTTTGAAAAAGCTTTTGATTGTATCAGCTGGGATTTCTTGGATTCAATCATGCAACAAATGGATTTTGGGGATAAATGACGAGCCTGGATTCGTGGATGCTTATCTTCAGCAAGGATCTCGGTTATTATTAATGGTGCAGCAACGAAGGAATTCAGAATGGAGCGGGGTGTGAGGCAGGGGGATCCGTTGTCCCCTTTTTTGTTTATCATAGCCGCTGAAGGACTCCATGTAGCCCTAGAATCGGCAAGGGAAAAAGGTGTTTATAGTGGCGTTCAGCTCCCTCACTGTGGTCCAACAATCTCGCATCTACAGTATGCTGACGATGTGATATTTTTGGGATCATGGTCGTTGGAAAACACGAAAAATCTGATCAGAATATTACGGTGTTATGAGCTGGCATCGGGGCTCAAGGTTAATATGTCAAAGAGCAAAATATACGGGCTCGGTGTCCAATCCTGTGAATTGGATTTGGTGGTCCGCAGCTTTAACTGCTCGATCGGTTCATTCCCGATTACCTACTTAGGTCTCCTAGTTGGTTTGTCGATGGTTCGTGAAACTCATTGGAAGTCCATTATCGAAAAATTTCAAGCGAAACTTTCGAGATGGAAAGCCTCCACCTTGTCGTTTGGGGGTAGATTGACCCTATGCAAATCTGTTCTAAGTAGCCTTGGCTCTTTTTATTTCTCGCTTTATAAGGCCCCTGCAAAAGTACTTAAAACCTTGGAACGAATTCGGATGAAATTTTTCTGGGGTGGGAGTTTGGAAGCAAGTAAAATGGCCTGGGTTGCTTGGGAAAAAAATTCTAGCATCCAAAGAAAGAGGGGGACTCGGGGTTGGCAGTTTGAAAGCGCAAAATCTTGCTCTTATGGGTAAATGGTGGTGGCGATTTAGAATCCAACCAGACAGCATTTGGGCCTTGGTAATTCAAGCCATTCATGGGTCAGAGGGTGGTGTGGCACGTCCAAAGGCCGTTAGAAGAAGAAGTAGCTGCTGGGGCTCGATAGCTTGCCTGCCATCATTTTTAGACAAAGATCAGGTGCCTTTCCTTTCTCTCTTCCAAAACTCATTAAATCTCGATGGTTCATACAAATGGTCATGGTCACTTGACCACTCAGGTGTTTATACTGTGTCCTCACTGCGGAAGCACATTGATAACCAGTCTCTGCCTCATAGTAATGCTGGTTGGAATTGGAACCCGCTTGTGCCGGGTAAGGTAAACATATTAGCCTAGAGAGTCGGTCACGGTAGGCTTCCATGCATGGAGAATTTAAATAAGATTGGTATCAGTTCTTCAGACTTATGTTAAATGTGTCATGAAGCCACTGAATCGGTAGATCACATCTTTGTGGGATGTCCGATATCAAAGGAAGCATGGGCACAGGTTTGTAGCTGGTGGCGGTTATTGGGGAATTATCCAAGCAATTGTAGGGAGTTGTTAAAATGTAAAGACTCTTTAGGGGGACATAATAGGCTGGAAAGGATTCATGAGGCTATAATGTTGGTTTTCTTATGGGTAATTTGGAGATACAGGAACAACAAGACTCATTGCTCAAACCCAAACTCCGGCTCAAAATCGACTTTGGCTTTCGAGGTACAAGCATTTTTGCATCTTTGGATCAATGCGAGGAATCGGAAGGGAAGGAAGCTTAGATGGCTCGAGTGGTGTTGTGACCCAATCTTGAAGTGCTATGGCAGGATGTAGTTTATTTCTTTTAGTTTCCTTTCCAGTTTTATTTCATTTCTTTGTCCTTTTTTCTGCTTTTCTGTTTGCTTCAATTGGTTTCTCTTTTGATGTTGTGTTGTTTTCTTGAGACTATTTGTACCTCCTAGCTCCTGGCTAGCTTTCTCGTTTTTATTATATGCATGCCGTTCTAAAAAAAAAAGAGCACCACCAAAAACACCAAAACAAAATGATTTAATGCTTAAATGTCTTGCTGATCAAAACTTTAAAAAGCAAAATAAAAGTCTTAAATCATTTCATTGTTTTACAGATTACTTAAACCATTCCTAAGTCTTAAGCTTATAGAAAAGCCTAAACACCAAACGTGACTATCAAAAGTGAGTTTTAGTTTCAAAAATCAAGCAAAAGGTGAAACAATTCTCACATATGTCACTGAAACACACCATAACACCATGCTAGTATACAATACAAATGCATATCTTCACAACCATCAATATTTATAAATACACCAGCTGACATTTATTTATTGGACAATCACTTCCCTTGATCACCATAACACCAAGCAAGTCGCTGTTGGAGCTGATAATGTCAGGGACATTTATTTAGTGAATATATCGGCCACATCATGGTTACTTGAGAAAATGAGCATTCATATTTCCAGCCATTCCACAAACCACGTCAAGATACGATGTTGGATCAGGTATACTTTCATTCGCCTTCTCGAACTCTATAGTCCAGATAACAAATTTCTTATCGCCCACATCCTTGGTCATAAAGATGACACTCATGGAATTATACACTTCCAAGATATCTCCTTCAATAACTTTGAACACAATTTTGTGTAATTCATCATCAATTTCTTCAATGATTTCCTTAGCAGTTTCCTTTTTTCCATCTACAGAAAAACCATAAGTAGTTTGTACGTATTTACATGCATAGATGTGTGTGTGTGTGTGCGCGTGGTGTGGTATAGATCCAGCATATAACAAGTTTTTATATTCAATTAGCTCGAATGAAGTAGTTTACCATGGTAGTAGTGCCACAGAACGACAGCTCCAGGAACACCCCATTCACCAGAAACTAAATGGCAAGCTTCAATCCTCTCAGGGTCGACGACTGATATGTGGTGTGGCTTGTGCTTCAAGAGTTCAAAGATCTGGTGACGATGACATTTGATTTCAACTTCACGTGATATCTTTCCTGTTATAGCCATCTTTTTTCTTGCGAGCACTAGCTATATAGCTAGATCTCCTCTCTAATGGTAGTGCTTGAATAACTGATGCATGAAGCACTTGATTTATATAATGGATGCCGCTCGTCTTTTTCTACATGTACCAGTAATTGTATGCTTGTACATCTTCAAGCTTTACGTGACATGGAAATTTTTACAAAGATTTATATACCATTTCCACAGTGAGACCGATACGAACAGATGGCTATACTATTACCGATAAAGGACTTTGTCGCGGAAGGTTTTAGATACCAACACTGTACAATACGACCTGAGCATATTCCTTAAATATTAGGTATGCTTTTAGTAAAAACTATGAAATTTTTACTATAGTTTTTGTCGTACTACAATTAGTAGCACCTTTATATCAGGCCAATGACATGCACTATTATAATAATGGCACATATTTCAGCCAACGACTGGACGAAAGTGCCCCTCTGTTTCCTAAACAAAGATAAAATGATTTGAACAATCTTAGACCTTTCAAAACAAAAAAGTTGTGACTTGCTAAGGGAAATTTGAATAAATCATGAATAATACCAAGATTAAAGGAAAGTAAAGTACGATTTGATCTCACATGACGTGTCGTACCATGCAATAGCGGCAACATCTTAGCGACGATCTTGTCGCGGTGTGTTTTGTTGTGGTGACATTGTCACTACTAATGCTACAATTTGTTCTATAGGAGTTTTATAGACATAAGAAAATGTGAAAAACTAGGAGTTGATGTTAGGAATGCGGACGAGAGAAATTCATAACAAGTTTAAAATATGAAGTGGAAGGTAATTCAAGAATTAGGCGGCTTCTACATTACAAATTTTACCTAAAAAATTAGGTGTCTTCTATGTTACAAAAAAACTTAACTTAAAGTTTTTCTTTTATATCTAGTTTAGGTTTTAGGTTATACCTAATTTACCCAAAGATTTAAAAAAGTTGTAGAAAATCAAATGTCTTATCAAAAGTTTTGAGCTAACATGTTTATTTTGTATAAAACTCATATCGAATGTAATTTTAGTTTTTGCCACCGTTATGTGCAACTAAGTGAATATTCGTATGTTACCCTAAAATATTATAATATAATTAATATATGTTATTAAAAATAATTATATCGGTATCATTGACTTTGAAATAATATTTGTTTACATTATATATATACGTACGTGTGTGTATATATATATATATAAAACAATTCATCTCAAGAGTGTTTATTACTGGATAGTATAAAATTTCATTAACTTTTGATTTTTTGTATTATTTACTATTATGATAATTAATCAATTTGTATAACTATCTTTTAGAATTATATTATCTTAATGATATATATATATATATATATATATATATATATATATATATATATCCAAACGTGCTTTCACAACAAGAATACAAAGTATTAGGGACAGCATTCTTTGCGACAACCTGTCTTTTAGCGACGACACCAAACAAGAGAAGCTTGGTGTCGCCGCTAAAACTCCATTGTCGTCGCTAATAGTGACATCGCTAAAGGTATGGACCGGAGATCCGTCGGAGACACGCCACTTTCAATCCCGACCCTTGTTTCGAAACATGATCCAAAGGATAGGGTTTGTTCCAGTGGAAAGCAATTAAGACAACACCTGTAGCGGCGACATATCATCGCTATTGGTATTGGACTAAATATTGGCTTTACAATTCTCACCCAATCCATAATCTATAGAAATGGTGTGTTGACTTCCCTCCAGAATGTCGCCGCTAATAGGGTTTCTGTCACCACTAAAGGGTTGCCCATTTTGTTCAGCTTCCTCACCGCAAATGACATATATCCATGTACCGATCCAGTGGCTCTCTCCGACAACAATTTCTAACATCAACCCCTAACATCGTTGCTCTCCACCGCCGATTGACCTCTAAAGCCGACTCCCACCGCCAATTAACCTCCAAATGCGGCCCCACCGACTGCCGACAGTCACATCCGATTCTGGTATCTTCGTCGAGGTTCGTTTTCTCTACCCTTTCTCTTTCTCCCTTTCCAATTGAACACTGGTACGAACACACACACACACACACACACACATATATATATATATTATATATATATATATATATATATATATATATATATATATATATATATATTGTTTTTAAGTTTCCATTGTAAGGACACACATCACACCACCGATTGTAGCTTTGTTTTTCTAGTAAGAACATGTTAGTAAAATTGATGGTTTGAATATAAAAATGTATATGTGAAATTAATGTGAAATTAAACTGTTCTTCATTTTTTTTATTCTATTTTTATGAATGTCAAACTTTTGACTGTTGTGAAATTGGTATGAACAACTTTTGTTTTTCTGGTTTTATGAATGTATATATGTAAAACTATTGACTATTTATGTTTTTATGAATGTATATATGTGAAATGTTTAATGCTATATCAAAAGTGTTATTTTGGTTGATGCTATTTCAAATATGTTGTTTTGGTATGAACAACTTTACCAATAGGTTCTTTTTTTTTTATATATAAAAATGTTGTTTTTTTTTCTTGGTATGTCAAAAATATTGTTTTGGTTGATGTTATATCACAAATATGTTTTTTATGAATGTATATATGTGAAACTATTGACTTTCAGTTTTTATAGTGATCTTATTTCTTTGTTTGTTTAATGTTATATCAAAAATGTTTTTTACTGAAAGATCCTGAAATGGGTGGTATTTTAATATACTAAACGATTCAGTAATACAACCATTTGTTTATAAAATATGATAGTTATCATTCAATAATATAATCATAAATAGTTATAAATCTTGTTACGAAAAGAAAAAAAAACTTATTATGAAAACGAAAAAACATAAAAAGTAAAAACAAAAAAACTATCATTATATATGAAATTTTTAACTCAAAAAAGTAAACACAAATAAACAATTTTATTATGAAAACCAAAAATGAAAAAAAAAACTTAAATAAAAAATTAGAATAAATGAATTTAACGCAATGAAAATTATAAATTTTGTGATTATTATAATCAAATATATTATTATTTTAACATTATAATTTTGTGATTATTATATAATCTCATAGTTAGTTAACTAAAATAAGTAGTCAACTTTACAACATATCACAATCCAAACATAATCCATCATATTTATTAACTTTATCACTTCAATATTTATATTTACAAATATCCGGTTTATAATTAAACAAAAAACAATCAAACAACTTTTTATATGTTAAAAAAATCAATGATGACAAATGAAATATATAAACCATTATTAGTGGTTCAACGACAATACTTACATATTTTATTGCAATAATCCATAACTGATCCATTTGATGTTACTTTTTTGCTGTTTTGAATGTTGAGTTGGAAAAGAAAGAAAAAATTATCTCTATATACATATATATATATATATATATATATATATATATATATATATATATATATATATATATATAAGATGGTATAATACAAAACAAAAACGCAAAACATAAGATGGTAAATCCAAAAAGTTGCAATCTAATAACATAATTATTTAAAGTATAATGCTATAAAAATAAAAAGTAGGATTTTTAGTTCTCCAATCCAGCATATCCATTAACTTTATTACTTCAATATCTGCATTTACAAAAAAAAAAAAAAAAAAAAAAAAAAAAAAAAAAAAGAAAGAAAGAAAAAAATACAAACAAAAAAAAATTACAATATCTGGTTTATAATACAAAATCAAACAACTTCTTTTTTATATGTTAAAATAAAATGTTATAATACATAACAAAAACGAAAAACATAAAACTGTAAATCTATTAAGTTGTAATCGAATAACTTAATTATTTAAAATTCAATGCTATAATAACAAAAAGTAGGTTTTTTAATTTAAATATCTTCATTTATTTTTTTTTTAAATCATCAAGAGCCTAGAAGTATCTGCCTGAAATTGGTTTAGAAATTAATTTCAGGTTGTCCCCATTTTTGGGTGTAACACAGTAAAATTTCAAACAAAATTTTCATTTAAAATCACATTAATCTCATTAAAATAAATCACAAAATCCACAAAATATCAATTTATCAAAACAAATATCCATAATAATAAAATCCAAAATCCTAAAAACATAACTCAGTCTCATGCGTACAATCAAGCCGACGTCTTCTCGTGATCCTGAGAATTATCTGAAACACTTAACACATAACACGATAAGCATGAAGCCTAGTGAGTTCCCCAAAATACCACACATATATCATCAGCCTCTCATGGCTATACTCGAATAAGACCCTTTGGTCAATGTGTCTCAGTAACCCTCCGGTCCCACAACTCGGGTGGACCCTCTGGTCCTAACTCAGTAAGCTCAGAATAATACACATCTTAAATCACAAAGACATAATGTTGGATATCACAATAGTCAATATAATCACATAAGACCCTTCGGTCACACAAAGATTACCACTCTAGGTAAGTATAGTGAGAAGACTCACATTGTAACCAAGTAAGCAAATAAACCTCGTACACGAATCACTAATCTAGCCTATGCCTAAGACATCTGATAACTATCTCTAATTAATACTCCAATCACAACTCTAAATAAACTAAATGCTATTTTTGTTGGATTAATGCCTAAGTCCATAACTATAATTGGTAAGACTTGACCTGACCCGGCATGGTCTATTTGGGTTGCATGGCATCATGCACTTGGATAGACTATAATGAGAGAAATAAGACACTTATGGTTATTAATATATTATAAGTTCTAGTATATTAATAATAAGAATAATAAGATTATTTAATTAGTATTGATAAAGAATTAATCTAGGATTAATTAAGTGATCAAAAGAAGACTAATTAAATATATGAATTGATTGTGTAAATCATCCATACTTATATAGTAGGCTAATGCTCCATGGATTATCTAGTTGGGCTAAAACCCATATGATGCTCCATGGTGTATTTGTACCCATGGATCATGGAAATGAAAGGCCATGTCAATTAGGGTTTACATGGTGTAACCCTAACTATATATGCATCTTATTCTTGATCAAAATCGGACACTAGAGAGAGTAAGAAAGGACTAGCCGATTTTCATGAGTGTAGAATTCTCTCAAGTTATTCCAAGTGTATTTAGTGTTGTGTGAACCATTTGAGGTGTCACACTTGGGGCACTAGGCACTCAAGCTTCATGAAGACTTTCTACATCAAAGAGGTATGTATTCTATCTTGTTACATTCATTGTTTTGTATGCTAGATTAGGATAATACCTTGGAAGTTCTTATTTGCATGTATAATAGAGAAAACATAGATCCAAGGTATTTAGGGTTGCATGTACACTTAGGAGTGTTAGAATGCTCAAAACCCAACAGTGGTATCAGAGCCTAGGCTTGTTTTCTTGGTATACTTGCAAATGGAGCTGAAAAAATCAAGTTTTGATGCTGTC